TCTTAGAACTAGAAATAAGAAATAATCTTTTACTCAATTTACATAATACTTCAAGCAAGAAATGCACAACGCTTATACATTCGTAAAGTAGAGGATTTACGAATATTATAATACATATACATTGTTGATTTCAAATATTACCCTGAACGTTCAGTTACCGCAGAGACGTTTATAACACACACACACACACACACACACATATATATAATATATACGTCTCTGGTTACCGTTAAAACATATCATTGAATATTATATTGTTCATACAAACTCTCATTACTCACGGGGAGAATATATTAGAAGAACTACTTTAACTAGAAAGAAATAAAGTTAGAGAATACTTACCATAAAGGCAAAACCCGAGGAACCTGACATTTGAACGCCCGTCTAACCCGCAAGCCAGGATTCAAATGTACCCAGATATAGTAAAAGACATATACCCAGCAGAAACTTTCAACCAATCAAACACCTTGGTCAAAGTCCGTCAAATGTCTGGTGTCCAGTTGGTCGGTGAACACTACTCACGTACACAAATACATACATATACACTACACAAAGGGACGCGCTCGCCAATACTTATAAACGTTACGCGCGCAGGTAAAACGTGACACTAACGATGTGTTCGCGATAATAAATAATACCCACATGTACATAACCATTGCACACACACACATACACACACACATACTAGAATACAAAATATACATACTACACGAACCTATTACATCTGCACGATATAAGTTTGCAAGCGCCTAGTTGATCGAGATAGGTGTTGAAAAAATGCACGCTTGGGTTATACTAAATATCTGATAACAGATCAATAAATCTTCAAATTAATATAAAAAAAAATCTTTTATTTCAGATGCACATACCTCTATATTTTCAAACTTATCTAATTATGTTAATTCTGAATCACTTATATGTCAAACCTTATTTCATTATGCACCTTGTTGAAATCTATCTAATTCAGAACCGTTTCCCGCACCCGTTTGGCTGGTTTTCACGTGCACCTAATTACTGTTAATATTATTGCTATATTCTGTACAACAATTAATACCGGCATTCCTAAAAGCGTATTATTAATAACTTCTTATTAATGACATATTTCCTAAATCTTATGCTAATGTCATAATCTTTATCTGAATGCCCAGTCGGTTTAGACCGACGCTCCTGCCCTTAGTAGCTATCCAAAACTGGAAAAACCCAGGGGACATCCCCGCATACTTTCACTTAATACGAGGATTGACTGTTTACACGACTAGAAGCAATTTCTTTTTGAAATTGGTTCCAGGTCCGGACGTCAATCTAAGTTGTTGAATTTTACAGAACACATTGTCACAAATTCTCACAGCAAAATGGCAGAAGGAGGAAGTTTACAACCAGACGATGAAATACACGATCTTCGATGTCAGACAGAGAGGTTGTCGTATTGTCAGGTTCTGAATACTTCCGGTGGATATGTCTTCACTGTGACTGATATGACTCGATTTCTTCGGTTTCTTATCCTTGGAACGGAGAACGGCGTATATAACCACGACGAAAAAGAATTGACACGAGAAAATGTCCTGAGCATTGACAGGTATTATTGAATGTGTCTACTTTCGTTTTCGGTTAGCTTACTGTATGAAAGTGAGTGAGCTGATGGAATGGTCCGATATCCGTCGGCTGGCTGGCTGGCTGGCTGGCTCTCTCTCTCTCTCTCTCTCTCTCTCTCTCTCTCTCTCTCTCTCTCTCTCTCTCTCTCTCTCTCTCTCTCTCTCTCTCTCTCTCTCTCTCTCTCTCTCTCTCTCTCTCTCTCCCTCCCTCCCTCCCTCCCTCATATATACAGCTGTTATACTTGTTAACTTCCGATGGAAAGGTATAACCAGTTCGCTCCTTCCTGTGTGAAGAAAATTTAATTTTGTATAAACCAATGCAAGTGTCTGAAATCTCCGGGGTCAGAGAGGTTAGCCAAGTAGGGTTCATTGAGATACCTCTTCTTTAGATCTGAAACATCATAGGTGAAATGATCGATTAATTGTTATAACCAAACTGAGGTTGAAAAACAACCCCAAACTACCTAAAATCACCCAAAACTGCTAAAAACTTAATCAACATATCTATTACATTTTTAGGAACAGATTTCAATTGCAAATTGCATTAATACACGTACATATGTACTGATACCTGTCGTGCATTTTTATGTCGTTACAAATCGTAAACATAGAGCTGAGTAAACATGTAATCGATGGACATTATTTATGATATTCATGAATATGTCCTGGTTAATTGGTAGTCTAAGACTGTTGATTTGATATAATCACTGCCAATATGTCATTTTTGTTGTTCCTTCTGTGTCTAGATATAGCACTACACAGCCAAAGTCAACATAAACACAACATGACCTAAACACAAATGTTGTAAATTTTAGGGTTATCTATCCTATTTGAATATATTTTACAAGTTTGGGGTTGTTTTTCGTATGTTTTTGGAGGTTCTGGGTTAGTTTTGGGTAATGTTGGGTATTTTGTTGCACCGTCATTGACATTGATGAATGATGCAAGACACTTAATTTTGTGTAAATAGAAGCTCTAGCCCCCTTGGGAGCAGATGGGTTGAGCTCAATATGAGAGAAAATGGCACATTGACCTTTCTCTGTTTGGAAAAAGGCGTCTTGACAAAGTTTTGACATTAAAAGCCTGACAGCAATGGTCTTTACAATACAAAGTAATTGTTCAATTTTATTTTCTGTTTATACTGTTAACAAAGTCAAATCCAAATTTACAACCAAAGGCTATTTTTTACATGAGACCAAGTACAGAACAATTTTACTTGCTGAAAAGTGTGAAAGAATTGATATTTCCATTATTGAGGTTATAAATCTGCTAAAACCTTTTGAACAAGACAGACTCTAGTTAGACCATTTGTTTTCCAATATATGTGTAAATGCTCCAAAATTGGACTCTGATAAAAAGCATAAATAGTATTTAAAAAAGAAAGGAAGAAAATGTGTGCTAAAAGAACCCAAGGAAAAAATTATTTAATGACCTCCTTTTGAAAAACAATAACCTTTAAACAGTGTATCATATTTTAACCCTAGTAAAACTCCTTGATACTCGAGGGGTCACAATTATTTTCACTCACTGCATACCTAGAACATGTCTTGGCAAAATTGAAAGTTCAATTTGCAATGCGTCGTGGACAACACAAAAAGACTGGTTTGATCCTCTGAGGTCTGTGATTGGTAAGTTTCTTTCTCCTGGAAGCAGTCAAATTACTTCACTTATGACTTCAATTTTGCCATGACATGTTCAAGGGGTGCAGAGAGTGAAAGTGATCGTAACCCCTGGGGTATCGAGGAAGTCTAGTCCCGCCCCAGGTATCTATCAAAGAGTTTGAGGTGTAGTGAGCATTCAAAAGACTAACTTGATCAAACCAACACATTGATTTTTATTACTTTGGCACATTATTATCTTGCTTAATTACTATTTCAAATGAATGACAAAGCATTTCTGCATGTAACTTTTGTTTTTGACAGAAAATTATGAATGACAATTCAATACAATTAATAAATGACTATTGGATGATGGGATTTTTTCAGACTGATTATCAATGACCGAGGTGTGGAAGTGGTACAAAGGATTGTAGAAGTCAGTGAAGCTGGCCGTGCCTGTAAACAAAACTGTACAGTTTATGCTCTAGCTATTTGTGCTAGGTCAAATGACCCAGATACAAAAAGGGCTGCATATGATGCACTATCCACTGTGTGCAAAATCCCTACCGACCTTTTTGCCTTCATTGAGTACTGTGAACAATTTAGTGCTGGAACTGGTTGGGGCAGAGCACATCGTCGCGCCATTGCAAAATGGTACAACAATTTCAAGGACAACGTCACAACACTTGCTTACAAGGTAACCAAGTTCCGCAGACGTCATAAATGGGAACACAAAGATGTTGTTCGCCTAGCCCACATACATCCAACATCAGAGCCATTACGACTTCTTATTAGGTACCTTGTTCGAGGTCTGGGCGAAGCCAAAAAACTGCAGATGCCAGCTGCTGCAAAGGAGATGGAAACCTGGCAGAAGGTATATATCTATCTTGAAGCAGTAGAAAAAGCCTTACACTGTAAAGAAGAATCTGATATAGTGGAGTTGATTCAGAAGCATGGTCTGGTACGAGAGCATGTACCCACACCTTTACTGATGTCTGTACCAGTTTGGAAAACATTACTGAAGAACATGCCGATGAATGCCACCATCCGTAATCTCGGCAAAATGGGTAGCCTCCATATGATAGAGGAAGGGTCTGAAGAGGAAAAAATTATATTAGACAGACTTAAAAGTCATACTGCCCTGAAGAAATCCAAGATTCATCCTTTCAAGATCTTGGTTGCATTGAAAATTTACAGTAAAGGTAAAGGTGAAAAGGGAAAGCTTACCTGGCCTCGCAACAAAAACATTGTTGAAGCATTGGAAAAAGCTTTCTACTTGTGTTTTGATAATGTGGAGCCAACCAACAAGAAATACTGCTTGGCAGTAGATGTTAGTGGGTCTATGGATACTGCCATGATGGGTATAGAATCTATGACGGCCAGGGATGGAGCAGCCGCTATGATGATGGTCACTGCTAGGACAGAGCCTGACTATGAGGTTTACGCCTTTTGTCACAAACTGGACAAGTTACATATACAGAAAACAGATACACTGAAAAATGTATGTGACAGGATGTCTTCCTTGAATTTTGGAGCCACTGATTGCTCTTTACCAATATTGCATGCCCTCTCAGACAAGAAGAGATTTGATGTGTTTATAGTGTATACAGATTCTGAGACCTACTTCCAAGGCCTACATCCCAGCCAACTAATGCAGAAATACCGAATCAAAACAGGAATTAAGGATGCTCGCATGATCGTGGTGGGTTTGACCAGCACAGGGTTCACCATTGCTGAACCTGAAGACAAATACATGCTGGATGTAGTTGGATTTGACACCAATGCCCCACAAGCCATGAAAAGTTTTATTGAGGGAGACTTTTAGTAACTCAATCACATAAGATATAACTTTTAAACAAAATAGTAAGGATGGATAAGCATGGATCATATGAAATACAGCCGTAAAATAGTGGATATCACAGTTAAAGGATGATTCTGGAAAAAAAAAGAATTTTAAAGGAGTGTATATTGAACAAAGGCTTGTGAAAATAGCTATTATTTTGTCCTTTTTTGTATGGAAAAGTACATCTATCATTTTACATATGTAAACAAAATTTAAAAAATGTTGTACATATCTGTTGCCTCCCTTAACATGAAGACCAAAAGTACATGTTTTGTTGCCTGATGTTTAAAAAAAGTAAAAAAAAAACATGTAAATCTATTTCAGAAATATTTCCAATGCCTTTGGTTCATTATTACATATTAATGAACTTCATCCGTTTCCATATCATTGTTCATTTTAATCTGTATCCATGTGAACCTGCTATACTGTGATGATATATTTGATTATTTCCATTGAAGTTGTATATATATTATCTTAACTCATAAGTCCAATGTATTAATGTATCATTTTGACACCTTCGAAACTGCTGTGGGCTACACGTCTTTACTGGATAAAGATATTTATTACCTTGTGGAAAAATCAATGTTATTTTGGTTTTTTTCTTTACTATCATCTTTCTTTCAAATATTTCATATTTAGGTGTTTTTTTTTATTTTTTTTGCCAAGTTAACAACTAAGGCTATTCTGAAGCAGGCTGTCCTTGTAGTAGCTGATGGCTACTCACTGAACTACCTGTTTCATGATTTCGTAATCAATTGAGGATAGTGAATTTTATTCATTTTGCTATGGTTATATTGAATCTGAGTTTGAATTTTAATTTTAAAAGGACGAAGGCACAACTGTGAAGGTCATTCCTCAGCTTATCATAATTGTTGTTCAACTTCTAAATAGTCACATTACACATTGGAAACACTTGTGTGGCAAACTTATACCACATCGGAAACACTTGTATGGCAAATTTATACCTCCTGAACCAGCCTATTACAGATTTGGTGTCATTCATTACTCCAATGGTAGAAGCTAGAAGGAATGAAACGCTTCGTGGAGCTTAAGAACATGGGTTGTCGTTGTCTCAGGGGTTGAAAACTTTGTGAAGAAGTGCCAAGTTTAATTTCCCTTTAATCAAGTAGTATAGTGTCCGGTTAGAAACCGAATGCTGGTTACGGCAAACCTCGGGGACTTAAAAGTCCACTGGCAGTGTCTACCACCTGCTATATCAAAGATTGTACAAGACACACTAGTGAATAGCACATTTTCATAATTTAGAATGAGATATAGGAGAACCTAACAAGGAATTAAACTGCATCCTACATCTGTTTTGTCCTTCTAATCAGCATTAGCAGCTTGAAACAATCAAACCACAAGTTTTTATTTCTATATGTCAAGACCACACTAGGAATTATTTGTATAAAAAAATATGTCATTGTAAGTAATTGTCAATTATTGCTTCCTTTTCATCAGATACTGAAATATTCCCTGCTTTAACAAAAGTAGGCTTCATCGATAATTAAGAAATTTTATTGGGTAATGCACGATAATTCCAAAGACGAAGTGTCTAGCAAATCATGCTACGGTTTTACAATCTTTCTGTTTATCGGTCAAAATAAATTCATGGATAACGGAAATTCATCGTTTTATTGCTGACTAATAATGTTGTGCGATCCAAGCTTTTAATTACTGATCTGTACAAACTTAAGGAATATTTTGAATGCCTGCTTACGGACAATTTTGTTGAAGTTGAACGGTGGTACAAGTATATTGTTGTAAGCTAAACCGTAGCGTATTTCTCAGGCGGAGATAGAATGTACTGGAGATGAAATCATGGTTTTCTTTTCTTGAATTTATTCGTTGAGACTTTTGGCAAATCCATGGAAATAAACTCTGCCTCTCTTTTTGTTATATTGAAGCGCAATAACCTTACCTTCAATGTCACGTTTATATATATGAATGTCGTGATTTTTTTAAGAAATGTATTGACCATGTTCGTCGTTTATATCAACTAGAATAGTTAGTAGAGAACATATTGTAGACTTATTAGACGACATGTTATACCGCTGCTTAACTCAATCTATACTAGAACGCAACCCAATGTGCCAACTTCCATTAAAAACGGCCACCAACCTGCAGGTCATACCTTTTGATTATGTTAGTAAACCAAACCTTCTGCTGTGTTTTCAGCTGTGACTCTAGCGGCAAAAAATTGACACTTCTGAGAGGGACAATGACTGCATCAGCACAGATGGAGCAGAATTTGAGATAAAGTCGAACTGCCACATGTCATTTCTATTGTTAGTGGTAGTTCAAATTCCTCAGAATTGAATTAACCAACGTTTCCCAAGAATATTAATATGAATATTTTATTGTTTTACCTCGCATTCACTTAAAACTGATGTCATGTTTCATCTCCATAGCTCAATGGGATTTCATTCGGCTCAGTAGGTTAAACTACCTAGATTTATAGGAACTTTGTAGTTTTAAATGTCAATATTACAATTATATAGAGTAGCTTAGTGATACTATTTAAAGACATTTTGTTAAAAATATAACTTTTCCTTTCCCTTGACCAACGAGCACATAATTCAACACGTCAATAAAATTATTAGAGTTTAGAGATACAGTATACAAAGCAGTAAATTAAATTACTTTTTGTTTTATAGTTCAGAGATTAATGAATTATCTAAAATATTTACCACTATTTGGCATTGCCTTAATATGACCTTACTTAATCAAGTCAGATGTTGTCGATGAAGCAGAAGACTCGATGAAGCAGAAGCAGAAGCTAACTCCTCAGAAACGAGTGGTCGTATTCTTTTACGTTTTCAGGGGTCTCGGTGTAGATTTTTCCTTTACATATATTTTGTGTAGATTTTTCCTTTGTATTCATTTTGCTATGGTTTTATTGAATCCGAGTTTGAAGTTAGATACTGTTGACATAGTTCGTTGTTTTTTGTTATCGTTTTAACATTATTCTCCTATACGCACTATCTCTTTTACTCTGTTAATGAAAACGATAAGTTTAGTGTACCTGTGATGCTTTAAGATTGTCTAATGAAATATCGGTTAAAACTCACCATATCAAGTTTACAACAACGTACATTCTTTTGTCAACTTATACAATATGCAAAACTAATCAGCTTTTTGTTTTTATTTTAATGTGTTTTGGAGGACAAATACGTACCGTTGGGATCGATAGAACATGTTTAAATTATCATAAAACCATCTATACCATTGACATTATAACGAGGAATACGATTCATATTACAGTGCGTAGGTTTAAAACCATGTTCAACCCAGACTTACTAGTGAAAAAAACCAATAAAAGAAAATAATGATAATGAAATTACAGTTGCTCTTTCTGAATTATCTATATTATCGATCTATAGAGTGAGAAACAGTAGAGCCAAACAACGAAGTTGAACGGTGGTACAAGTATATTGTTGTAAGCTGAAACGTAGCATATTTCTCAGGCGGAGATAGAATGCATAATACAGTTGTTTCATTCTTCCAGGACTCGTCAGTGATGCTCAGGACCTAAAATTTCAAGCCTTGGAGACGTCTAAGGAAAATCCAAAGCGATCTAAAGATAATTAAAAATCTAGACGGGGAGGGACAGCAGCCCTTTAATTAGATATATTCCGTAATTTTCATACATCAGATTATTTTAGAACAGCGTCAAGTACATGTGTATTTTCTGAACCGTGCCACTATTCGAGTGAATTTAAACGTGGCAAGCTGGTTACGGCAAACCCCGGGGACTTAAAAGTCCACAAGCAGTATCTACCTCCTACTGTTCCGGTCCTTGGTCGACGAACAGATAATTTAACACCCCAATAAAAGTATTAGAATTGAGAGATACAGTATACAAAGTAGTAAATTAAATGACTATTTGTTTTATAATTCAGAGATATATCAACGAATTATCTAAAATATTTACCACTATTTAGCATTGACCTAATATGAACTTATTTGAACAAGTGGTTGAGTATTACCAGCCATTAACTGCCATTTTGCGGATGAATACAGGAATGTTAACCGACTGAAATAACTTCCCCTTATACTTGACCTTACCCGATAACAGTTGTTTACGCTCAATATATATTTTGCTGCAGAAAATGTATCATTTTGCATGAAAGCACTTATAGCAATAAAGACTGATTGTGGGAGCTGACTAGTCAATACAGGGTATGTCCCCCATTCACTCTCTCCACAGCCCTGATTCTCCTAGTCATGCAGTTCATAAGTAAGCTTATCCTCCTCATTGGTATGTTGGGCCATCCTTCCGAGAGGGCTGTTCTCGGTTGGGCCAGAGTAGCATCGAGAGTCTTGCATCTTCGAACCTATCTGTCCAGCTGGTCCAACAAGTACTCAATAGTGGATAGTTCGGGGTTGTATTGCGGCCAGTCCAGTGGGTGGATATTGCTGTTAGTGAGGAAGTCGCTAAATGGGGCATGAGACAACATGGGGTCGGAAGATCTCGTCTCTATACCTCGCGGCAGTTAAAACAACCGCTACCGCAACCAGTGGTGATTTAACCTTTCCCTCTCTACTACGCAGCATTCGGGAAATGTTCTCTTCGACGTCGATATATACGATGGCGAACTTCTGCTTATTAGTAAACAATATCCGCCTCCACTGCCTCAATCAGAATATTCTGGGTACATGTGTCGCCACCAAGCCATACGACGCTGGCGATGAGCAGTGGTAAGGGACAGATATACAAACGGATGACATGCTCGCAGACCAATTTCTAGAATCGTTTCTTTACAGTATTTGCATGGAAAAGACGGTATGAAGGGCAGATTCAGTTGCGGTAAGGTGCCGTCAGCTGTGCCATTGTTTAATGTTATTAATCAAAATATCAGAAAATGATATGTCTCTATGAAGATTACATAATGGTATGACGAGCAGTGTAACTCAATGTCACAACACTACTGTGTACGAGATTTTCCCGTTTTGTGCATTTCCCGGAAGACACACACGCAATACAATAATGCAACATTCGATGCAGGACCATGTGCACTGTAACATAGAGAGTTGCTTGACCGATTCTCATTGTTTTTGAACAACGAGTTCGCAAGATATTGCAAATAATGCCACCCTGCGTTTCTTTATATCTTAAGTATATATATATAACATTGGTATATTATGTAGCAATGGTGTTTCTCTAAATCAGCTCAAGGGTTCGGCTGACTACTTGTTAAACATATACAATGTAATACAAGTAGAAAATTTACTTGTTTTGAAAAAGACATCTAAATTACCATATTGTGTGTATCCATACATGTGAACTAAAGTGCACAACTCCTGTCGCTTCTCCTGTTGGTTCTTAGAAACTACACTGTTTTCAAAGGTGATGCGCGAATGTTAACGTAGTTCGTACAGTATATATAACAAGGTATATCTAATTATTATCAGCAATATTTTATTTATATATACTGGACTTGCACGAACAAGACCAAGAAAAAATTAATTTTCCATTTCAAAATACTACAATGGTTGTTTTAACAAAAACACTCTGGTACAGCAAATGTCAGCTCTTCATATTTCAACTGTACAATGACTCCAACCACGTAGGCTTGAGAAAGTCGCGTTTAGGATTTTTTGACCTTTGATCTCCACAAACGAAAACGCCAGTTATCAGCAATTGTTTTTGCTGAGATGGCAATCTATGGATAATACTAGCACAACTTTTTTATCAGCGTTGTTCCGGTGATGAAAGAAAGATGAGACGTTATCGTACGTATGTGTACCTCTACATCTTTTCCAAGGTTTGGTTATTGTCTGGCATCCTCTTTAGCGAGTTAGTCACGCCACAATGGAGTATCTTTTTGTATCTCACTGACTTACACAACAAAAAACAATTGTACCCTCTACTTCATAAGATACATAAAAAAAAGATTTGATAAAAGGCCTCTTCTCTTTCGCAATACACATATATCTTGTGATGAATGAAGCTTTCCACTTTATCGACATATGTAAATGTCACATTGATTTTCTGCATTTTTTGTTCTTACGCCCATTTAAAATTCATTTATTATTCCCCTTAGGATCTTTAATTGCTTCAAGCGACGGAGGGGAATCTTGGATGGACGATGTCACCTCGCGGGAATCTAAAAGTAACTAAACTGTATACAATATCACCAAGATCAACATCTTCAATCAGGCAAATGATTCAAACGATCGAGTCAGATTGCTGATATTGAGGCTACATGTATGATATCCTCTTCTGTCCGTTCAACAGATACGTTTCGTAAGGAGTTATCAGCTCCAAACCCAATGCGTTTTCTCAAGTAAATACGGGAACGAAGAGTTTCATCAATTTATTACCGTGGGCGGCTTCATGTTTAGAGGCATTAGCCAGTTTGAAAACTTCAGTGTTTTATTATGATAATTGATATTACGTAAATAACAACATATTAAACTTTTAAATTACGGAATTTCCACCTACTTTTAGCCTGCATGATAAGGATAAATTGATGGCATTTTTCAAGGCTTTTCACATATAACTTTACTCGGAACAAGTCCCGCGGAGTCATCAAATAATCCGTGGGTTTTCAGGTTCATGCCAATGACGATATCAATGGGATATGCCCTTGGTTCTCCAGGACCCCAGAATGACGGGTCCATATTTACTACTGAACCGTCCAGCCATTTCCAGGTACCTGCCACTAGCT